TCACTTCCACAAGTTCTTGAGTTTTAAATTTTCTCCTCCTCCCTCCCCTCCTCCTTCCCTAAGACAGCATGCAATCTGATATAGGCTCTACATATACATTCCTATTAAATATATTTTCACATTAGTCATGTTGTAAAGAAGAATTAGAACCAATAAGAGGAATCACAAGAATGAAGAAACAAAACAAAAACAGAAGAAAAAAACGAGCAAATAGTATGCTTCAATCTGCTTTCAGACTCCATAGTTCTTTCTCTGGATATGGATAGCACTTTCCATCATGAGACTTTTGGAGATGTCTTAGATCCTTGTATTGCTGAAAAGAGTTAAGTCTTTCAAAGTTAGTCATTGTATAATGTGGCTGTTACTGTGAACAATGTTCTCCTGGTTCTGCTCACTTCACGGAGCATCATCCATAAAAGTCTTTCCAGGTTTTTCTGAAGTCTGCCTGTTCATCATTTCTTATGGAACAGTAGTATTCCATTACATTCATATACCACAACTGGTTCAGCCATTCCCCAATTGATGCGCATCCCCTCAATTTCCAACTCTTTGCCACCACAGAAAAAGCTGCTATAAATATTTCTGTATATGTGGGTCCTTTTCCAATTTTTATGATCTCTTTGGTATACACTCCTAGAAGTGCTATTGCTGGGTCAAAGGGTATGCACATTTTTATAGCCTTTTGGGCATAGTTCCAAACTGCTCTCCAAAATTATTGGATCAGTTCACAATTCCATAACATTTTTTTTCTGAAATACTCCACACAAGTAAATCAATCAATATTAACTGCCTACCATGTATCAAGCCCTGGGAATAAAGACAAAAATGAAATGATACCCATCCTCACGGAGCTTAATGCGGGAGACAAGATGTATATATAAGTATATAAAGAATATATAAAAATGAATGCAAGGTGTTTTCTTTTACAACATGGTTAATATAGGAAATGTTCTGTATGACTACACATGTATAATCTATATAAAATTGCTTGCCTGCTCAAGGAAGAGGGGGAGAATTTGGAAATCAAAATTTTTTAAAAATGTTAAAAAATTTTGTTTATATGTAATTGAGAGAAAATAAAATAAAAATTAAATTGAAAAAATGAATACAAGGTAGTTTGAGGAGAGAGGGTCAGGGGAAGGGAAAGGGAAAGAGGAAAATCAGGAAAGGGTTCATACAGAAGGTGGTATGAGTGAAATCTTGAAGGCAATCAGTCCAAGAAATGAGGGCGCAGAACATAGATCCTTTGGCTATCCTGCCTTTTTTGTGGTGGTGGGAAGGTTGGGAAACTAGGTTTCCCAATCTTGTCCTGACTGGAAGTAGTGGAGCCTTCTCACTGCTCATCAGCACATAAGCTTTGACCAGCTCATTTTCTTCTCCAGGGTGCCTAGTGCTGATACCTGATCAGCTTTATCCCTCCTACAGCTCAGACCCCCAACTTTAAGTGATCCCATTGCCTCAGCCTTCCCAGTAGCCCGAGCCACTACACCTGGCCTCCTGATATGGTTTTAAAATGAAAATTCTGAAAATGAATGACTATGGTTTACAAGGCACTCTTCTCAATATTATAGCAGAAACAAGGAAAGAAAAGACCCATTTTTGACATTAATCTTATAAGAGTTTTAAATGATAGTTCAAGATGATAGAAAAGATCTCAAGTTTGCACCAATAAATTATAATATGGATAATAATGTTCACAGGAAGGACAGAGTACTTCGGCCTAGTGTGGTCAGGAACAAATTTATGGAAGAGATGGTATTTTTTGTTTTTGTGAGGCAATTGAGGTTAAGTGACTTGCCCTGAGTCACACAGCTACTGAGAGTTATGTGTCTGAGGCCGAATTTGAACTCGGGTCCTCCTGACTCCAAGGCCGGTGCTCTATCCACTGTGCCACCCAGCTGCCCCCATAGATGGAATTTTTTTGCTAGGACTTAAAAACATGTACCAGATAGTGGGAGAAATAAGGAATCTGGGCTCCTTACAAATTCTGGTTTATTGCTTATTCTTATCAATACTAAGAGATACTACTTGACTTTAATGGAAAATTCTTAATATTGAGGTAGATGAAAATTTGTTTTCCTTACTACTGTTTTTATAATTTATCTGGCCAGATACAGTTTTCAAGCTTTAATTGCAACTCATTAGACTGTGTACATCATTACAGGCTAGATGAACTCTAAGGTCCAATCCGACTCTAAATCTATGATTCTATGACTTGCTGTGATTACTGATGTCAATAAAGTGTAGAATGAGATCTCAGTTACTGACTAAGTGCTGTAACTGAAATAAGCTTCACAAAGCAGTGTTTTGTCTAAACAATCAAGCACAGTATTTTCAGTCTCACATGAGGTATGGTCCCAAGATCTCTTAACTCTGGAAAGTGCTAAGTTTTATTCTTAAAATAATGGATCCAGTGATATTAAAATTTTTTTGATCTGTTTATATTGATTTAGTATAATATTTCAAGAATTACTCCTAAAAACGTAAATCCAAGTTATTGTTATAGAATGGTATCAGTGACAGGTAAAATAGACTTCAGTATAAATAAAGCTCACAGAAGCTCTTTTCCTACTTTCTTTAATCGCTACTTCTTTAAAGGCATACTATCAAAACTTCTAGACTTTACTGTCTGCCTTCGGAAGTGAGGATATTAAATTCCAATTGTGTCTCCTTAGGCTACCACTCTATGCAAACATATCAAACCAAGTCACTCCAACTGGAACTGAGTATATGGAGAAAGACAACGTTAAATACAGACAGAGATTAAAACTGCATTTGGCACTTAGAGGTTTGGCCAACGTACAAATTGACCTAGTGGGCACTTGGAATTCTGGTTTATTGAAAAAAGCATCCAGTTAGTTAAACCTTTTTAATACCTACAATACAGCCTGAAACTCTCTCTCCCTGATTCTTGCCTGCCTGTGGAAAAGTATTCCTTCTCTTCTCTAATTTCCCTGCATGTTGAGGCCATGTATCTTTACAAGGAAAAGTGTCAGAAGACTAAGGTTCAAGTTCCACCTTTGCCACTTACTTCCTTTGGGCAAGGCATTTAACCTCTGCTGGGCTCCTTTCTGATCTGCAAAAGAAGGAGGTAGGACCCCATACCCAACTGTCCATTCTAGCTCCACTCTTCGATACTAATATCTGGTTCGTTACCAGACCTTATCTATCATCATTATGTATGCACCAGTCACAAACCAGTAGAATAAAGTTCCTTGAGGATAAAACCTGTCTTTTTTATCCCTTATATCTTCAGTGACTACCACATAATAAATGCTTAATTAACATTTGCTGATTTGAACAACGAATAAATTTGACTAGTCACTGACCTATTTATCAGGTAAACTTCCAAGAAACAATGAATATAATTCCAACTGAAATTAGATGGGTCAGAAGTCTCCTGCTTTTAACAGACACACAGTTACAAGCAACATTTTAGTGGCCTAAATAGGAAACGTGAATTTCTCAGTTAAACTATAAGGTTCTAATCCCAGAAAGCAAATCAGACAACATAAACAAATGTATAAATAATTCTATTGTATCCTGTTTTAGGAACATAAGAATACACATTGGATGAACTAGACTATTCATCAAGTACCCTTTAAAGAAGGGGAATTACAGGTATTATAGGAGATCAAAACAAAACATAACCAATGAAATCAGTTCACTGGTTTACAAAATGGCCAGCATTAAGAAGAATTAAGAGAAAATGATCAAGCACCATAAATTTAAATTTATTTACTCCAAGTCCTCAATCACTTCTGGTTGTAAACGTGAACACAGAAAATTTACTCAACCAAAAAAACTCAATCTCAAATTATGACCTGTTAAACTGGGGCTAATTTTAAAAAGAAGCTACTGTCACTAAAACTCAAGGTGATATGGTTTAAAAATACTGTCAAGAATCATACATAAATTTGATGTCTTAGCAATAAAAAATTTTTAAAGGTATTTAAGGGAGCAATTACGGCAGTTGCCTCGGTAGGCTTTGGAACCTAGAGTGTACTCATTTTTCAAGTGTAATTTTTTTTACACAGTGGTAGATCTTTAAAACTTAGGTGTTAGTTAGATGGTTTCCAAGAACGTTCTAGTTCTACACTTCTTCACTAGCACAGTACAAGAGAAAGTGCAAAGGTTTTCTAAGTGAATCCTGACTCCGCAGCTTACACCGGCTGTGAGACCTCGGTCGGTTTCCCATCTGCACAGCGAGGGCGTTGGCCTGGATGGCCCCGGGGGCCCCCTCCAGCTCTAAATCTAGGATCCTGCTAAAGAGGTTAGCTTACTCCTCTTGCTTTTGACACCTCTCCTGCTGGCTAGCCCGCCTAACCTATTCCTGTTTAAAAAAAAAAAAAGTTCCTACGAACAACTTTGAAACAGAGCTGGGGTCTTTTAGTCATGGACCCCTTTTCTGAAAAACGTTTTTTTTTAATGTAGAAAAATATATGCAGCATAACAAAGGAAACCAGTTATACTGAAATGGTCCTAAGATAGATCTTTTCAGAAGTTCAAGGACCTTAAGTAGAGATCCCTCGCCAAAGAGAATCCCTCCCAGGTAAGTACCGGCCGAGCCCCAGGACGGGAGGCTGACCAGTTGGGCCTCAGGGAGCGGGGGTTGGGAGAGGGGTGTCAGCCCCGGGGGGGGGGGGTCACGGAACCAGCCCCGGGGCACACCCCCTCGCTCGTCCCCAGCTCAGCGCCCGGAGAAGTGACGAGTTGGGGACGCGCGGTCCCAGGCCACGGGCCTCCGAGGGCCGGGGAGGTCAGGAGGTCAGGCCCCGGCTCGGGCCTCGTTCCTCCCCAGCTCCCGCGGCCCGCGGGGAGAGGAAAAGGGCGAGGCCGCGGCTCCTTCCGTTACCGTCCCGCCCCCGCCCGGCCCGGGAGGGCCCGGCTGTCAGCGGCGGGAGGCGGGGCCTCGGGGAACGGGCCGCCGCGGGCCTCGGCCTCCCGCCCGCCCGCCCGTCACCCCGCCCCGGCCCGGCCCGGCCCGGCCCGTGCGCTACCTGCACCGCGCGGCTGAGGAAGGTGCCCGCGTCCGCCGCCAGCTTCTTCACGTTGAAGTCCATGATGCTCAAGCCGGGCCGAGCCGGGCTGGAGCCGGAGCCGGGCAGAGCTGCCGCCGCCGCCGCCGCCTGTGAGGGAACGGGTCGAGGAGCCGGGGAGGAGGGGGCGGGGCCCCGTCCGGGAGAGGAGAGGAGAGGAGCGAGGGGAGGGGAGGGGAGAGGAGAGGAGAGGGCGGGGCTTATCTTGAGGAGGCGGGGAGGGGCCAGGAGGGGAGGGGAGGAGGAGGGAGCGAGAGAAGGCGGAAGGAGCAGTGGCGGGGGCGAGGCCTAGCCTGCTGAGGAGGAGAAGAGGAGGGGAAAGGAGGGAAGGGAGGGAGGGATGTGGGAGGGGAAAGGGGAGGGAGAGAGGAGGGAAGGGAGGGGACGGGGGGGCGGGGCTTAGCCCGCGAAGGGAAGAAAAGGAGAGAAGCGGAGGGGAGAAAGAAGGGAGCGGGGAGCGGTGGACGGGGGCGGGGCCTAGCCTGGGGATGTGGGTAGGGGAAGTGAGGAAAGAGAGGGAAGGACTGGAGAGAGACTGGGAAAGAGCGACGGAGGCTGGCGGGGGCGGGAAGGAAGCGAGGGGGTGAGGAGAGGGAGAGGGGGAGGGGTGGGGCCTAGCTCTCTAGGGGAGAGAGAGGAGGAGAAAAGAGGGAAGAAGGGGAGGGGAGGGGTGGAAGAGGGAAGGGAAGAAAGAGAAGGGGAAGGAGAGGATAAGGACTGGGAGAGGAGGAGGAGCGGGAGGGGGATGGAGGGGGAAGGGAGGAGAGGGGAGCAGACGGGGGCAGGGAGGGGAGGAGGGGGGGCGGGACCTAGTCTTCTACGGGGAGAGGAGGGGAAGGAGGAGCTAAGGTTGGGGGCGGGGCCTAACCGGAGGCGGGGGAGGAAGGGGCGGGGCGTGGCCCAGGGGGGCGGGGGGGCGGAGGAGGAACGTGGCTCTTTGTGGGGGAGGGCTGGGGTGAGGGATTTGGAGGGCGACAACCCCCCACTTCCCGGGGGGCCGATGGCTCGGGGGTAGGGTGGGCTCCCCCCACCATCCCACAGACACCCCGGTAGACGACTGACTAGAGAGTGACTGTGGGGTTGTGCTGGGATGAGACACGAGGCCAGCTAGGCCGGGAGGCCCGCGGGCAGTGACTAATGAGGTTAAACAGAGAGACGTAGAAGCCGGATTTGGAAGGGACGCCCCAGAGACCAGGAACCACCGACCGACCGCCGCCGTGTGTGAATAGGAGACCCAGGCTTTTCAGACGGAAGGAGCGAGAGACTGGAGAGCAATTAGGCCATTACCGCAGCAGAGCTCGCCGAGCTGATGAGGGCCCGAGCTCGGGTCATCTGGTGTGGGAGAAAAAGGCGCTGGGGAGGTCCAGTTGACAAGACTTGGCAGTCTGTTAAAAATGGTGGGAGGGAGGGAAGAGAGCCCGAAACGACTAAGGGTTTGAACCTGGGTGATTGGGAGGATGGGGGTGCCTCAATAGAAAGAGGGGTCAATGTAAGGGGAAAGATGGAGTTCTGTTTTGGACATGTTGAACTTGAGATGCCTGTGGGTCATCAAGATGTCCAGCAGACAGTTGGAGATGCAGAGAGAGATGGACGATGCTATTTAGATTTTGTAGTTATCTGTGTAGAGGTACGGTAGTTGGACTCAATCATAATTGAAGAGGTGCCCAAGTCAGAATGTACAGAAAGAGAGAAGAGGCCTCAGTCCACAAGTGGTCATCCCACCTTTGTTTGAAGATTTCTTGCAGCAGAAGAGAACAGATTGCTTCCCTAGTCAGCACATTCTACTTTTGGATCATTTCTAATTGCTATTAAATTTTTCTTTCAATTTATCCTAAATCAGCCTTTCTACAACTTCAGTCCATTCCATCTACTTCTGCCATCTAGAGCTGAATGAGTCTAATTCTAAGTATTTAAAGACAGGACTATCATGTGCCCTTCCAGACTAATCATCTCTAGTTCTCTGACTTGAACCTTATGAGGCATGAACTTGGGCCTTTCACTTTCCTCCTCTTCCTGCCTCCAGAGGTTCTCAAGTTTATCATTGTACTTAAAACATGGCATCCCAAACTGACCCAGGGATGGCCTGACCAGGGCAAAGAACAGTGGGACTGTCATCCTTCTTAGTTCTGGCCTCTCAATGCATCCTAAAACCACAAACTCCAGCCTCCAGTACTTACTGGTTATTTCACTAGGAGCAAATCAATGAGTTGTAGTTTCCTTATCTCTAAAATTGGTATTCCTAGAGTAACCATCCCGCGCTGTTGTTGTGAGGCTCAAATGACAATGTATGAAAAGTGGTTTGCAAAGCTTAAAGTGTTGTCAAGAGGTCAGCTATTTCTTTTCTTTTTCTTCTTTTTTTTAAAATAACTCATATCCCAATGATGATTTGTACTACCTGGACAGGTTTCCCTTATAAAGTTGTTTGTTTGTTTGCTTTGGAGACCAAATGTAATGCTTTATATTTTATCCAGTTGCGTTTCCCTGCAGTAGTTTTGACTTAATGTTCTATCTTGCTGGTCACTGAGCCCCACAGAGAATGGCTGACAGATTATGCTATGTTGAGACACAGACACAGAGAAGCACATCAGGGTAAGTGCAGGGCAGGAACCTTGCTATATACAGAGAGACAGACACAAGCATGGTCTTCAAGTAGTTGGAAATAGGCATGGACAGTTAGGTAGCTGGATTTATAAAGCACATTTTTCATAAGTAGGAAGTTTCTGCTCCTATCACATATTTACCATATGCAATTGAGAGAGAAGACTACTACACTTTAGGGAGAATGATAAAAATTAAGACAATTAGAATTGGAAGAGATCTTAGAGATTATCTAATTCAAATGCCATCTTTGTATAGATGAAGAAACTCAGGCCCAGGGAGCTTAAGAGACAGTAAAAATTCAAACCCTCTTGAATCTCTAATTCAAGACACAGCGCTCTTTCCATTGGCAAATGGAAAACCTTTCTAACAATGGATTGGGAGTTAGTATCCTGGCTTTGATCTAGAAAAAGTCACTCTCCCTGGATGACTTCCATACTTGTCCTGTGCCTTCAAGCTTCAAACAAAGGTACACAAAGAAATATGAGAGCCAGGGTCAACCATAGGTGTTCAGAGGAAATGGAAAGGCCAGGGTCAACCACAGGTGTTTAGAGAAATTTGATTAGATCAGTCAGATGCAGTCTTTAATGGAATAAAAGGTCATTCTTAGAAACAGGTTCCAGTTCCACTTGGAAGGTGGGAAAGGGGAAAAGAACTGCCAATGCCTCCATATTTTTCCTTAGCACTCCAGCAACTTTAGCAAGTGCCCATAATAAAATACAGTCTTATGCCTTGTTTCTCGCCCCCTTTAGGCTTCATTTCTCCAGGCTCCCTAGAAGCATGGGTTTGAGGAAGGGAATTGTAGATGTCATTTTTTCTAGCCAAGTAGCTCAGCTGCTCCATAAGAACAAGGGAAACTCCCCACAACCTTCCTCTTCTCTTCACTTAGTCTCCTTTTTAAAGTGCTCTGCTGCATCTCCCCCCCACCCCATCCTCAAACCATGTAAAACCATGCCTCAGGAGATGAGCAAAAAACTTCAAATACCTGAATTCCCTGCAGATCCACACCATTCTTTGTCTCTCTAAAGCAGATGTTACATTATACAACACATTAGTAAGTGTCCCTTTGTAAAAAATGAATTAACATCAACAAGTTGATCAATATTTGGGAACACATCAATGTTGGCTTGAGTGACAGTAATAGAACCTCCCCCCCCCAAAAAAACAGGCAGGTTTACTCCCTAGAATCTTGAGAGACGTAGTAGTTGGCTGCCGTCTGGGCACACAGCCTGCCGATGAGAGTGAGACTTGGGATGAGTGAGCCTAAAGGGGATGCTATAATAGTACAAATTACATTAGAAGGACAAATATTTGTGTACAGGACAAACAGACCCATCTCATTCTCCTGTCACTCTCACGCCCTTATACAACCAGTTTTATCACTGAAGAGTAACTTGGTTTTCCCTACCCACCCTGTTGTCAATATATAATTCTTAGAGAATTTTCATACTTACAGAATCACATTTCTTCTTCCTTCCACCCAGCTGATAAAAAAATTCTATCTCATTACATTAGCGAGATATAGGGTAACTATTGGTAAGTCATTTAGTTGGCTGTGTCAACCAATTAAAATTTTTTTATTAATAAATTTTATTTTGCCCTAAGAGACACTTCCCAACAAACTCCCAAATGAACCCTCCCACAAAATACATTCCCTGAAGAGTACTTTTTACTTTTGTAGGTTATTGATTATTAACAGAAATGAAGGATTTGTGCTTCAGTATTAACAACTTGGTACCAATATTATCTGTTGTATTTGACCTGAGTTTTGTTGCTTTTTAGTTTTGTCTTTCTCTACATTGTGTGGTCATTGTGTGTATTGCTCTAGAGGAGTAGGTGATTTAGGATAGAGCCTTGGGAAACACCTACAGTTTAGAGGTACAGTATGAATGATGAGCCTGCAAAGGATATGGACAAGCAGTTTACAGGTGGAAGGAGAGCTGTGAGACAGTAATGTCAAAAAATCTCAGACTATCCAGGTGAGAAGGTTGGTCAACAGTGCCAAAAGGCACTAGAAAAATCAAATGGGATGAGGACTAAGGAAAGACTATCAGATTTTGCAGTTCAGAGATTATTGGTCACTTTGCTGAGAGCTATTTCAGTTGAACGATGAGGTCAGATGCCAGATTGTAAAGGGTCGAAGAGTGAGAAGAAAGGAAAGGGAAGCAACAAGTATGGGCAGCTTTTTATAGGAGTTTGGCTGAAAAAGGGAGGAGAGCTATTGTTTTTGTTTTGTTGTTTTTTTTTTTAAGAATGGGGGAGAGTTGGACATCCTTAAAGACTGTAGGGAAGGAACTGTAGCTAGATAGAAGTTAGAAATTTGAGAGAGGGAGGTCATTGAGGGGACAGTTTGCTGGGGATAGGAGAAGATAGGATCAATACATGTAGAGTTCTTGGCCTAGGTCAGAAGAAAGGTCACTTCATTGTTAGAGATGGTGGTTAAGGATGAGAGAGTGGGAGATGATGTCAAGAGACTTTGGAATGAAGAGAAGGGGTAAAGGAGGAGCACATGGTGACTGGCCTCAGTTTTTTCACTAAAGTAAGAGGCAGATTCTTTAGCTGAGAGGGAGGACAAGGAAAGGTTGGAGTAGAGAAGAGAAGGTTTGGAATAGTTTCTGAGTAGAGTGGCATAGTAAATTAATTAGGGAGGAATAAAAGAATTGCTTTGCTTTAGTGAGGGCCCCATTGAAATTGCATAACTTGAAATTTATAGTTTATAGTATACTCAGCACAGTTGTGTGATTTCCTCCAGTTTCATTCAGCAGCCCTTAATTAGGAGTAGAGGAAGCATATGGCAGGGTGAGAGTATTCCAGGCTGGGGTTTGGGAAGGGATGAGTAGGGATTTGTGAGTTGATGACAGTGTGTAGTTGTGTGGATTAAAGGGTCAAGATTAGGAATGACTTCAGAGGAGGAGTAATGGCCTGAGAAAGTACTTAGGGGTGAAAGGGCTGGAGGTCAGTACTACAAAGACTAGGTTTAGAATGGGTGAGACACTGGGAGAGATGGAATGATAGGAGATTATTATCAGATAGAGGAATGCCCAAGTTTTACATAAAGGAAGTAGATAATGGATAATGGTGAGATGTAGGGTATGGCCATCCCTGTGTCTTGCAGACTGGAGTAAAGGAAATGTTCCTTGTTGTTCAGTGACCTTTGATCAGGTAAGGAAACACAAAGCATACTAGGCAGCCAGGGATTTCAGGTTCAATCTCAGGCTTCTCTAGATAAGCACATATTCTCACTTCTGTATGCTTGTAACTGTCGTGGCTGCTGGGAAGAGGGAAGAGAAAGTCTCTTTCCCTTGCTGGAAGTCCAAGGGAGAGCTGGCAGAGTTCCAAGGGGATGAAAGAGAGAGAGAGAGAGAGAGAGAGAGAGAGAGAGAGAGAGAGAGAGAGAGAGAGAGAGAAAGAGACTTTTTGCAGCTCTTATAACCTACTAGGGGAGTGAAGAAGTTCCTCCTGTCTTAGTTATCATACATCTTCAATGCCACTCCATTCATGGGAAGAAAAGGATCAATTGCTGGGTTACACTTATCCTTTTATCAAGTAGCCAGAACATGTGTTCCCAAAAAGGAGACAAAGCACACACTCTGATATACTTCAACAGATCAGTGGATTGCCCTGATTAGTCCTCTTAAACAAATATAATACCAGAGTAATCCTTTTCGGGAAAGAGCAGATGCTAGTTTCTTGCTCTGTCTGTACTGACTCCATTCCCTCTACCTTTAAACATGCACTAATTTTCCTTCTCTTGAAAAACAATTGCCCCTGATGCTGTCCACTACTGTTACTGTATTTCTTTCCTTTCACTGTAGTTCAACAGATATCCTAGCACTTTTCTGTGCAAAGATACAAAGGTAAACAGCTTTACAAAAAGAAATAAGCCACCATCTCTACCCCTACCTAGTTTACAATCTGGTAGGAGCATAGATTGACAGCTGGAGGTGGGGTGTGCTGCAGCCAACTCAAACTGGCTGGAGAGGGATGATTATTACATTTTCATTAGGAGCATTCATGCCTCAGAAAATCCAAAAGTTAGGAATAAAAGCTTGATTTATTGTTTTGTTAATTGTTGAGATGTAAGAAAATGATAGAGTAAATATTAATAATGCAGATTAAAAGTGTGTCATTGGTAATTTTTTTTCAAAGAGCCAGTTGTTAAATATTTACCAGCACACCCCTGGCTGGAAAGCATTTTAATGACCATCGAGTCAGAAGGTGTCAAACTTGATGACCCTAGGCAGCAGGCTCCAGCAAAACTGGCCCAACCAGATTAAAATGTAATTGGGAAATGGTTAACAAAATTAATAAATATATACATAATATCTAAGTCAGTATATGGCCTTCAGGGAACCATTTCTATCTATAACACCATTGTTCTAGACCAATTGCCTCATTTTGTAAGTGGTAGAGGAGAAACCAGTTCAGAGAGGTAACATGATCTGCTTAAGGTTACACACATAGGAAGTAGCAAAGCCAGCATTTGGACTCATGTTCTCTGACTCCAAATCCAGGCC